ATGTGGAAAAAAAAATTTCTTGGGGAAAAAAAAAAATTCATGAAAAAAAAATATTGAAAAAATAAAAAGGCCCTCGATAATGGTGTAATGTATGTAGTTGGTGACATACAGTCCTCAAGAGGGCGACATGCATTGATTAAAAATATATTCATTTCACCAGCCGGTAAAATATAACACTGAAAAGTGACCGGCCAGGAAAATATAACAATTTGGATCCTCGCAATTGATATCACGTGACGAGCTCTGGACCAATCACATCTCGGTATCTGTCTAAGCTATCTAATATAGTCAGTTATTTCCCTTGAATTTTTAATTTATTTATTCGTTTGTTTCATGGAGTATGCTCTTCAGTATATACAAACTGATTTACAAGAGAGAACTGTATTATATACCGGTAATATAATGTAAAACGAAACACTTAAAGGAATACACAATATTACAATACATTGCAACACAAAACAAGAATAAAACGATAGATTGAAATAGAAACAATTATTGGGTTTGTGATCAGATCTTAAATACACTTATCCGCGTAGAATGTATTTGTATCTAAAAAATATAAACAAAGCAAAGGTGAGATATTATGGGGATCCGCTTTTCAGATTAAAGCACTGATTACCAGACCTTGATACTGAATTAAAGGTAAAATTTTAAGCGTTAGACAATGTATTTCTTTCAAAGAAATAAGCACCCTGAGGAGCTCTTGGTTCTCTACGTTTGAACAGTATGATATGATCGTCTTCAGGAAAATGATTATAACATTGCCTGGCGGAGGCTATTTATTGCCTATTGAGGGATCCGATGCGCGGCCTCAAAAACTTTACCTACAATTCAGTATCTCCACCATGAAAAAAAGTATCGCTGACACTTGACTCAGACCTTGATAATTGCTTCATTGGGAGGTAACATCTCTAGTCTGACATGATGCTCATCATCAACCATTAGACTGATGTGACGATAGAAAAGATCGACTCTTTCACCCATCCATCTCACTGCTCTCGCCATCAACCGATGAAACAGCCCATCTGTGGGAATGTCAAACAAGAGAGATGACCAACACATTATGGCTAGTGATATTTTGAAAGCCAGCTCAAAAGGTTTATCACCCGCAATAATGCTTGAAGACGATCAAATATTTCTGAGAAACAAAACACGAGTTTCTAACAAGATAGACTAAACTCCGACCCTTTCAACATAGTATACACATATATACACTGTCTTGAGAGGTTCTGGTTAAAATGATGCGCAAGAGGTGTCCCCAATAGTACTATTTGCTAAGAGGCGCAGCCCCGAAGCAAGAAGGCATGATATATGTCTAGTGGTTTGTACACCCGACCGCCCTGACACGACTTTGGGCAAGACATTAATTTACATTTGCCATTCTCCACCCAGGTGTTTAGTGGGTACCGGCAGGGGACAATGCCTAGACTTGCTGGGAGCAACCTACAATCAGTAGCCCAGCTGAGCTGGGGTTATATTAGAGCACCTTGCATATTGGATATGTGCACTCTGAAATTATCCAATATTGATATTAACATTAGAGCAAATAAGAAAAATATTTAGACTAATCTGGTACAAAAAGAGTCATAAATAGTTTGTAGCTAACCGTCTTTCTACTCGAGTTTGAAGCCAACCCTATTAAAAAAAAAATCAATATGTGAGTTGGACATAGTAAACCTCTTGTTTACTTTGCATGCATACGTCATTTTTGGCAAGAACCTATACAGGTCATTCAACTTGTCTATCAAGGCCAATTAAGGAAACTTAATTAAGCAAGTGACCACTATAGAAAAGGTGGTCTTTCTAGATACACATTTCTTTCTCAAGAGAGACAAAATACATGGCCATTCTAGATAGGTTTAAATTTACACAAACCTTTACATTGCAAGTCTCTTTGGAGCAAGAAGTGCATTATCTCTACGATACATTACACGAATTGATCCATTGTCTAGAGGAACCGCCTACCCTGTATAAATCCTATGATAATTTAGTCAACGGGTAAGCACCCTTCTGGCTCAAGACAGATGATGAATTCATCCTCACCTGGTAAGAAGCCCTTGAAGTCCACATAAAAAACTGTAGAAGATTTGATCTGTGCTTTCTCTTCTGGCGGACAATGGGTCGTCATTCTGCAAGGAACATAGTAGCGCTTCTTTACCACCTTCTCTGGTTTATTTGATACCTAAAATATAAAAACATATCCAAACACTTAAACCATAAATACAAAAAAAGATATACCAATATCCATCACAAATAAATTCGAAAAATCTAATGAAAAATAAAAAGCAATTAATATTTCATTCATTGAGCAATTTTTATTTCAAATTTCAGAAATAGACATTTTGGTACCATTTGTAAAAGCTTTGAAAGCCCTACATAAAGGGACTTGGTAACATTGTTCAGATGAGAGAAAATGGTGCTAAGGTAGTGACTTTAATGCTAGATGTACAATTAAACAATTAGCCAAGAGAAATCTGATCGATTGCTTAATATTCCCAACTATATTACAATTTAATTACATTTTAGGTGAATGTAAATCGTCACAATGCAATAAAATGGCCTTTTATACCATTCCAGACATTTAAGTGTTGACAGACTTTTAAAAACCTGTCTTATGTTATATTTTTAAGAAAAAACGGTTTGGAAATTCAAAAATGGTTGGGAGATTACAGTTAATCCCTGTTAGAGGGGGTTGCACAGTGAAACCTTCAAAGAAAACCATAAATATCTTTGTGGTTTGAGAATTTTCTCACGTTTTCTGCCTGTCAGAGGGTAAATACAGTAGAAGAAATACAGTATACATTTCATACCAAAATTACACATTGTTTTAATCAACCTTCAACACTATTACCAAGTCACTTTAAAGGTCAGGCGACAAGAAAATCAACTTAAAGTGGCATTTCAGACATTTTCATGAAAATTTCGAATATGTCAATCGTTTTTCACTTGGAAAATGACTTTTGGAACGCCTCTCAAAAAATTGAGTCTGAGCCAAGAGAAATTGACGTCATCTTTGTGACGTCACAAGACAATAATTGCAATAAATCTTAGTACTCTATTGCCATATACGTACACGCTAAATGTATCGCTTCACGTTGATAGAGAGATAGTATTTCGACATTTTCAATATTTGCAGACATTTGTTGAAGTTTATATCGTAAAGGATCCACGCTCAGATTCATCTGATTCCAACAGTGAGCATGCATTTGACAAAGTATCAGGATCGGAGTCAAAATCGAGTTTTGAATTGACAGATCCTGAAGATGAACTTCCAGATGTGCGTCAGCAGCCAGTGATAGCTAGGGGTACAATGTAATAGATTTGAGCCTTCGGCTGAGCAAATTGCTGACGATGACGACAATGATGTTGTTTGTGATGAAGAAGATGACATTGAAAGAAGACTCGGGAACAATGACTGGTGAGTTGGAATTGTTTTGACAATGACTTAATACCCAAGTGAATATAACAAAGGTTGTAATTCACTTGCGGTAGCACTGAGACCTAGCAGTAAAAGCACTAGCACTCAGTAGCAGATACGGCTGAATGCAGCAGCTAGATGTGACCAACATGCCACGAGGGAACAGCGGGCAGCCTCCCTGTACTGCGCTGATTTTTGCTTCTTCTAGTCCTCTTGTGACGCCATCTTTTGGCGTCATGATCATATGAGCTCACGCTCCGCTATAAATATATTTTTGCGAGTATGGGTTGCTGTGTCTAAATAGAGCCAAAGGTTGCATAAAATCTACCCTTTGTGCACAATTTTTGGATTTCTTTGAAAAAAGCATGTTATATATCAAAATAGGCACATTTCCAAGTTAAACACCTGAATTAAAGCTTGGATTTCTAAGTATCCTCTCCTGGTTCGGAGGTTGATTGCAACATCTCTCCGTTTCACGCTATCTTCTACCATTCTTGTGCACTATTACAGTTTTAGTCCACTCCAGTTCTTGACATATTATCTTCCCAGTTGATTCTCGGTCTTCCAATCTTTCCACTAATACACATACACTTGTCTTAAAGAGAAAGTTGAGTTCTGGGAAGAGGTGAAAAATAACTTGTGAGCGTTATCATTCTTATTATGTAAGTGTGGAAGAACATCAGATAAGACAATGTTCCCTGAAAAGCATGGCTCTTCAAATGCCTTCATATTCTAAATATGTCATGTACATCGTAAAACTCGGGGGTAGGTTTTTTACGCCACGTGTTCGTATAGTCCCATATACATCTTTCTGTGTACAGTGTTTGTAACTTTACCAAGACTTGGCCAATTTCTTATCATTTTGATGATTCCAGAACCTTGCAATACACACAAATTCTTATATGCTAGATGATCAACCTTCTCTGATCGATTCCACACCGTTTCCTTCACAATGAAATCGCATGACCAGAACTCAAGTTCATCTTTAAGCTATAGGTCACACATCAGAGCAGCGACCGACCGATTAGTAGCATGCTCGGTCGCCGCTGGAATTTAGGCATCGCCTAACGATTTTTTGGAGAAGTTGAGCAGGCTGTAGAGCCCCAGCGATTTCGGAGATGTAGGAGTTGTAGGAGTTATTCAATCAGATATTTCAGACCACCAGCCTATATTTGCTTTTTGTTCTCTGACACAGAAACAAGAATCGGTCCACACCAAAAGAAGACCCTGCATAAAATTACCCAACAAAAAGTGAATATTTTAAAAGATAAACTTGGAAATGTTGATTGGACCATGGTATTACGTAAAGGAGACGTAAATATATATTATGAGTTTGTTGAATATCTTTATTCAACTGTACAAGAAAGCTTTTCTGATACAGATTCTCAAACACTCAAGTTAAAAAAAAAATCATTGAAATACCTTGGGTCAATTCTACTCGTTTGAAATCAATTAACACGTAAAATAGGCTGCTCTACAAAATATGTAACCCAATGAGTAACAATCTTTTGAAGTACACAAATTATAAAAATACATTGACAAACCTGCTTCAGAATGCAAAAAAAAAAGGTAAATTTTGTAATCAGTTAACCTCCTGTAATAGAGACATTAAAGCAACATGTAGAACCATGAAGAATGTACTTAATAATTCACCAAAATTCACTAAATATCTCTCAAATTAAGAATCATAGAACCGCAACTGACAACAAACAAACTATTGCCAAAACATTTGATAACTTGAATAACCAATATTGCACCAGATTTGGCTCTATCTATACCAAAGTCGGCAAAATCATTTGATTTTTTTTTAAAGATAATCATAACCCCTCTACACTATTCATGGTGCCAACCAATGAACAAGAAATTACTGACATTGTGAAAGTTTAAAATTTAAAAAGACTCCAGGTTATGATGATATTATTGATAAGCTATCTCTTTCAACAATGTCAAAATTGAGGAAGTACAATCAACCAAGTGTCTTCGCCTGTTTATTGATGAAGGAATGACCTGGAAAATACATACTAATTATTTGTGTTTATTACTCTTAAGAAATGCTGGTGATCTATACAAACTGAAATCATTGTTTCCGTCATATGTATTGCAAATGTTTTACTCCATGTCAATATTGCCCTACTTGACCTACGCTATTCTTGCCTGGGGTAATTCATTGAAACTCAAACTGGACAAAATCCTGGTTGTAAAAAAAGAGCAATACGTACAATTTGCAATGAACCTATTCGTACTCACTCGAGCCCTCTATTCTTTGATACTAAAGTAATGAGAGTTCAGGATATTTTTAATTAACAAGTAGGCTGCCCAGGCACCTTCAGATTTGTTTAAGAAAAAAGATCAAGTACATGAATATCCTACTCGACAGGTGTTTTCATGTCACCTTCCTAAAACGAGAACACGCTTTGCTTAAAGTAACTTCATATACACAGGTCCCAAGCTCTGTGATTAAAAGGTCTGTTAATGTTAATGTATTCAGAAGAAAATTGAAATGCCATTATTTTAATACATATATTCATTCCTGATTCCTGACTATCTTTGTCTCCAAGCAGTATACTTTTGTTAATTACAATGAAGAGAACCAGGGGAATTGCTGTGGGAGGAGGTCAAAGCACCATTTAGCTGGATATTTACCTCAGTGTCTACTCCATACTGTGGCTTTTCCTGGATTCGTTCTACAGGAGCATCACAGATGAGATCAAACTTGGCCATGAGCTGGACTAAGGTGTCCTTCTGATCCGAGAAGCCTTGCCACATATGCTGAATCAATCTATCCTCTAAGATACCATCCTTCTCAAGAGTAGACCAGGCATCATTCACGATCCTGTGCAGACAGTCCTGGAATTAAAACACAGTGTCAACTTAATGGCAGTTGGAAAACCTGGACATATGAGTATAGATTGTAAAAAATACTACATGGTGAAGTGACAGCTCAGTTACATCAATAACATATCAAATATGTCCTATCATTTTTATCAATACCCAATACTCTCAAGAGACTTCTTTACAGCCTTGTTCACATGGGTCATAATACCACAAGATTTGTTTATGCTAAGTTCACACCGACGCCGAATTGATGGCGCATTAAATCGGCGAGCAAAGCGGCGGAAAAAGCGTAACAAAGCTTAATTAAAGCGTAAAGACCGTAATAGAGCGTGAGAAAGCTTTGAGCAATTCGGGACATTTGTTAAGAGCGCCAAATTTGTTTAAACTGTTTAAAAAATTGAGGCGATATGTCACGAATTGCGTAAAGCGGGAAGAGCGTAGTAAAGCTTATCAAAGCGTCACAAAGCTTATCAAAGTTTTGCTCAAAGCGTAGGAAAGCTTAACAGAGTTTAAATTTTTGGCGCTCTTGCCGAATGTCCCGAATTGCTCAAAGCTTTCTCACGCTCTATTACGGTCTTTACGCTTTAATTAAGCTTTGTTACGCTTTGCCGCCGCTTTGCTCGCCGATTTCATTCGCCATCAATTCGGCGTCGGTATGAACTTAGCATAACATATCTCAGGAGATCGTGAGATTTTTTGAAAAAATGACGCCGAATTGATCGCCGATTTAAAGCGCGACATTCGGCGTCGGTGTGAACTAGGCATTAGGGTACTGTGCTTCAAATCTTCTATATTTTAAAACATAGATAAGTGAGTATGCATTTGACCTTTGTTGTATGCAACTAAGTTTTGAATATTCACTTGCCATTCATACAGGACAATAACAGTTTTCCACGGCATACGTGAAAAAGGTTTAATAAGTTTCTCATCCCTCCTGCTCCAGGGAGTGGAGAATGTGCATAATTGTGTCTGAATCTGATGATGGGGAAAATTATACATATAGTATGTAAATCTCTTACAGACCATGTTGATGTATTATACTTTATTTAAACAAAGAATATTGTTATAAATGGAGGCGAAGGTGTCTCACCCTTTCTGCGGAATCCAGGATGGTAATGACCTGCTAGAAGACATCAATTAGCCAAATCTTACGATATTTTGTAGGAAAAACTGCAAAGGACCTTTGTGGTACGCAACTACTTTTTTTAATGCCCACTTCCTATTCATTTCGCATTTTTAAAAAAAAATTCTGCGGCTTACCACACCATACATGAATGAGGTTGTAAAGGAGGTGGAGGTTTCTCACCCTGTCTGCATGATCCATGATGGTAATGACCTGCTTGAAGACATCAATTAGCCACTGAGGATTCAGGATCACCATGTCCCGTAGGAGAGACTTCTGTTCTTCAATGCCTCCGTAATAGACTATGTAACCCAGGTCGTGGTAGAAGGTAAGCATTGTGAGAAGTTCACTCTCAGATGTGATACTGACTTGCTGCATCAGTTCCTTGGTCTGGGAGAATACAACAAATGGCTTCAAAATCATCTTTTGATTTGTGAAAAACATCACAAATAGTATCTATCAAACAAAATTAATATCTTTAACACAGAAAGCAACAGGAAGTTTAAATTTTGTGCCAAGATTTTCAAAGGCACTGCATCCTAATAAAGACAGGCATAAACTGGGTCATTGACAAAAATTGAAAGGGTTTCATTAATGCATTTTTACATATCCCAATAATACCATGATAGTAATGCAGCTATGCGTGCGGTAAAGTGGACCTGGGCACACAAAGGTGCATTAGCATACTTGTTGTGTATTAAAAGCTATTTAGACGACATCTATTGATCCTCAACATTTTAAACACCACTGTACAAAACTCAACTGAGTTCACTCAAAATAGGTACTTTAGTGACAATTGATGACACCCAAATAGCAGTAAATACATGTACATTCTTTTCAACTTACCGATGTTAGAAAGAACACTTTTAAAATTCATACCGTGAGTCTACTGTCAAAATTGCCGATCAGCCACTTCGTATTATTTGTGTGCATTAGTGTGCAATTGTATGCAATGTGTGAATTGTGTGCAATTGCTGCCTCAACAGCACGTATACAGCGCTAGATGTCAATATGCATTAGCATTGACTTTATGCTTTGCTGGAGTGGGCTTGGTGGTTCTGCAAACTAAACGGGCGCCTGAGCTGAGCTGGCTGAGCTGAGCTGAACTGAACTAGTCAAGCATATTGACCAGTCAAATTCTATTATGCAATATAACTCTACTTTAGATAGATATGAGCTGAGCCTGGCCTTGAGTCAGATTTAAAGACCATAATTAAAAAAATAATTTTCAATTATTATTTTAACATTTATGTTCTTTACTTACTGTAAGCGCAAATGGCATGTCGTATTATAAAATTGCAATCCATTTGCGATATTTATGTTTTGAGATGAATAGTAACATGAAACAAAAAGTCAATGGTAATTGATAAAGTGCAGTGGAATGAGCAAAGTAGTGATTTCCTGCAAAGAATCTTGGCATGTGTATGTATGACCATGTCAAGATTACCTGATTACTACTTCTTCGGGATGTAGGGGTATAAAGTCACAGGTCAATTTGAATATGCCAAAATAATATTGTAACCATGATAATGTCAGATCGTTAAAGTTGATTTCAGAGATAGGATGAGAACTTCCTCCCATATTCCATCAGTGCCCAAAAGCATCTTTATCTTTATGCCTCCGATCTGAAAGGTGTGCAGCATTATGTTTTCTGGTTGTTAGTTCATCTCTCTATTCAAACATCATTGATTTCAAACTCGTTTGTGCCCTTTTAATAAGCAAAACAGCAAAAACTAAATTAACCTAGCTATTCATTTGTGTATATGCAGTATTTCCTGAATGTTTTGATTTTCCTCCATATATCTGAAGGAGGTAGACCAGCAACACCAATGTCTTTCATTGACTCCCTAGTTCTAGAGATGCTGGATCCAGAGGTGGTGGACGGCATCCAGAGCTCACAGACGGAGGCTGGATTTTTAAGCATGAATATTTAGTTTTAAAGTTAAACATTATTTTTTATTTTTTGTGTATTGCCAGTTTTCTAGTTAGTTTAATAGGCTGGAAATTCTGGGAGGTCACTGTGACATTTGCGATATGAGTGGATCATACATAAATAGCCATACAAAGGAATGACAAGCAGAATACTTTAATAGTTATGGGGAAAAAATGAATTGTTAGTATTTAGTCTTTTTCAGATTTGTAATGTATGTTTATAAGATAATCCATAACATGATTATTAATCAGTTTAATTGTAGCACTAAAGCTGAAAAGTCTCCTTGGTTTAAAAAAAAATAAGTTTTTATCTCTGTTTACTTTTCTTGTGTCACATATTTTTGCAGGCAGCTGAAATGTCCATCACATTTTCTCATTTGAGTAAACATGAATCAATGGCAACGTAGCATAAGTTCATCATGTCAAATCAAATCCATTTTAACTCATTTTTGCCGTGAAGGACTATTATATGTATAGGGACATACAGAAACAACCATTTTGCATCTTGTTCATGTAACTGTTTGTGGTAATTACTATGAGATTTAGTGCCTGTCATTATAGCATGACCTACAAATTGAAAGAAAGAGAAAGGATGGATGCAGTGTCAGACACTTTCAGGGCGGAGGTGGTAGATTCCCGCTCACACCCAAGCGCTTACACCTGAGCTAACGTGAAGTTGCTTGTTAAGAATCTTTAAAATATCGATCTGCATTAACGAATTTGTTTTACATGCCCAATTTACTAAGATTGTTTAAAGAATTGATTTTATAGCAGCAAAGTTTGTTACATGATAACTCTCTTTTTTATAATATCTTTTAATTTGAAGGACATTGAGGAGGATAACGCTGTTACCAGCATGCCGGAGGCCATCGTTGGAGAGGAAGAGGAAGAGGCCGTGGATGAAAAAGAGGCAGAAGAGAATCTAGAGGAGAAGGAGGAGGAGAGGGAGAAGATACGCTGCACAAGTTGTGAATTGGATTTTTACAGCAAATAAGGCTTCTTTAACAAGATCAGCTCCATGGACCTCCAAGTTGGCAATGTGTCTGTCTCTCCTATGGTAAGCGCCCGTCACCTTGGGTCTACATTGATCAGTCCATGTAAATGGGCAGGCATATTTCACAGGTATGTCAGACTGCTTACTTCCAGCTTCATAACATTGCAGCCATTAGATCGTTGCTTACGAGGATGGCAGCAGAAAACCTTATCCATTCACTCATTTCCTCTAGACTTCATTTATGTAACAGTCTTCCTTCCTTCTACAACCTTGAACAGACTTCAAGCAGTACAGAATGCAGCAGCACGTTTGCTTACTGGGCAGAGGAGAGCATGATCACATCTCTCCTGTCCTGGCTGAGCTACATTGGCTTCCTGTCAAGAGCAGAATTGAGTTCAAGGTCCTACTGCTCACATTTAATGCAATTCATGGTCATATCCCAGGATATGTGTCATCTTTAATCGAGCGGCGTCATCTTCACCCTGGTCTTCGCTCATCTGGCCTTACTCTCCAGATGCCCATTACTCATCTCAAGGGAAATGGAGACCGGGCGTTTTCCTCTATTGCTTCTCGCCTGTGGAATTCCCTCCCATAATTAAATCGCGAAATTGACAACCTGGACCACTTCAAAGCTTCACTCAAAACTCACATCTTCCTTCAGACATTTAAAATGAAATTTTATCAGAGGAGCTTACCCCTTTGAATGTTTTTTTAGACAGATATGTGGCGCCATACAAATGCTGTTCATCATCATCATCATCATGTTTGCTTCAATATTATATATTTATTTATTCTTCTTATTCAGTTATTTAAATTATGTAATAAGATATGTCATTGTAACATTTGTAAATTACACTATTGTTAACTTCAATACCAATGTAAATTATTCTCAGTTGAGTATTAATATTAAGTGCGTTAATATGCTATACAAATCTGAAATATATCTATTACATAAAATAGAATTACTAGTGTGCTTACAAAATACTTTAGTGTAAAGTTTTTGTATTGAAATGTAAGTCGTAATAGATAATATGTAAAAGATACCAGAGACTTTGCATACTTACGAGAGGTCTAGGTCTCTCGTAACTTTACGAGAGACGTTTAACTTAAGAGAGACTTGTATGTGTAGACTTTGCTTTATGAAACAGACTTATCTATCGGAACTAAAGTCTCCCGTAGTTAGGACACTTAAGAGAGACATTGGGGTTCATGTCTAGACATAAATTCTTTATGAAACATCCCCCCGGAGAAATGAAAGTAGCTATGAAAAAAAATGATATAAGGATTCTGCTTGGAAAGGACAAACATGAAAATCAATATGTAAACAAAATTCAGTACATAACAATTGCAAACTTGAAAATGAATGGAACCCAATTTGGCTAGTAAAAGGTGAAGCTCAAATATAAAATGTATGTATGTGTAATAGTTCTTCCAGTAAAATACCTAAATAAATACAAAATATTTAAAAATGGCAAGAATAATAGTTGCAGTCCTACCTGATCTAATGACATGTAATTTTCTTCTGCAGCTAGATTTTCCTCAAAATATAGCCATCGGAGTGGAATCTCTTCTCCCATATAAGGCTCATTCATCGCTACCTTCTTAATATCTCTCCTCAAGGCGATCAGCTGCAATGTAAAATAAATAGACGTACTACCACGAGGCATATAAACATATCCACTCATTTGAATTATTACAATACTTCATTAAGCAGTGAGCTTGTGTCAAGTTTTCTAGGAAGAAGAATAACTACTATCTAAATTAATGCCAGTTGATTTTCGGTAGTAAATACCTATATTTGATTTTCGTCAAGCACAGTGGATAATATACAAATGATGCATGCGCATGAGTTCAGTTTACGATCTACCCGCACTCGAGTTGAGGCTGTACGTGTGTATCTATCGCACGAAGCCGTTAGGCTGAGCCGTCAGGCTGAGTGCGATAGATACACACAGCATCAACAATCGTATAAAGATCGTATAATGAACGAATGAAAACATTCATCATTTGTTTTATACAACGAAACTCCTAGACCCTTGCTATTTGATGTATAAAGAATTCATTCAAGATTGTTTCATGACAGTACATAGCTGACAAATAAATCTCAAGTTTAATAAGGCTTAATTTAGTGCGCACACATAGCTATAGATATAGCAAGCGCACTAATTACCTCTATATCCATTTACACATAGTGCTGCGCAAGAATAGTCTCATGCTCACGCAGTATTAAGCGCTCTAACCTCTACGCGCACTACTACCCTCTGAAAACAAGTTCAATAGTACTGGAAAATATTGCACTCCTTTTCATGAAAACGACTGCAATAGGCTCAGTAAATGAATCACACGTGACCGCGCATGACCAATCATTTGATTAGGATCTGGGAGTGAGTTGTAAAAAAAACAATGTCAGTATAACCACCTATATATTTTAATTTAAGTCCATGCGCAGCAGATTCGAATAAAGGATATGCATCATTTTTAATAACTACTGGGGAACTAACATGAAATCGAAAGTGTTTTTGGAATTACTATACAAACATATGATTCTGTAAGTGAGGAACTATGTTAGGGTTACTATTTCAAAACATTGAGATTTTATGTCAACAAGAACAAACATGACGTCCTAAAGTCAGCAGCTTTGATTATGTCTGCAAAAAGTGAAATATTTAAGGTACTTTTTCTTATTTGCAGCCAACATCAAATTCTGTAGAACTTCGCAGGAATCATGAATATCTCCTATCTGTGAAATTAAACGTATGCAAATTATGCAACAAATCCCGTTTACTTTTTATACTTCACTGTCAGACAATATTGAGTGGCTGATTGATTTCTTTTTTTTCTTTGGTAATAACATACATACAACAGAGATGCCAGTTAGAATTGATCAGAGGGCCTGAAAATCACCTAGAATAAGCTAGTTAGTACACAAAAAAGCCTAAACTATGGTATGAAAATAACTCACCAGGGCCTGAATTCAGGCTATTGCCTGATACAATGAGCTGTAAAGGATATACGAGCATTTGTTTACATAAATAACCCACTTCTTGTAACAGCCAAAATTAAACTGATTGAAACTTTGCGCAGCTTTAAACGTACACCATTCGGTACAAGGTAATGGAAATCAGACTATTTACTAAAAGGATTGCAATCTCTCAATTTGATTCGACATCTAACGGTCGTTATTTCCCCCACAACAAGAAATTTCCCAGCCCTTTCATTTTGAGAGAATACCTAAATTAGTACAGGTATTATCTTTCAAATGCTGCTGGCATTTAACCTTTTCATTTTGTTGGCCTGCAAATGGAACATAGTACCTGTACAGGCTGTGTAGCTTGGCAAATACTGGTTAACGCTGCTGTCGCGTCGTCCGTAGTCGTATTATACCCGATTGGCCCTGAGTCAGGCCACGGGAAAGACATAGTCTTGTCAGGCTGCATCCCCTTTAAGGCAGTGGGGCTGATTATATATACTATACAGTTATTGACTGGCAGGGGGTGTAAAATAACATTATTTGGACTGCTGAAGGGAGTTATATTTCCCAAGTGGTTATATTTTCCCAAAGCGCGCAGCCAGGAAAATATAAAGATCTGGATCCTCGCAATTGATATCACGTGATGAGCTCTGGACCAATCACATCTCGGTATATGTCTAAGCTATCTAATGTATATGTATATATATATATATATATTGCTTTTATTTACATTTTTTTCCTGCTCACTCCCTCACTTTCTCATTGATCCTGACACTTATATATTATCGCTGACTGCTTGTTTTGTTTTTTAATGGTTTTTAAAAATAATTACAACAGTATAGTTACAGAACTCAGCTGGTACAAGACTCTCATATAATAAAAATAGAATTTCGGAGATAAAGATACACCATTACATGTCATTCTATGTAAATGTAACAAATTGGTTTATTATGGGTTATGAGCAGCACCTCACCTTTCACTTTGTGTTTATATAAGAAAATCTTTATTTAGATTGCTTTATTTATTTTGAACTAATTTATTTGCATAAGAGATATGTTTATTCTGTAAAAAATGTTCCTTTTTTAATGTTGTATCCGAAAATATTAATATGAAGTATTACTGTATCCTTTTACTTTTTTCTTTATCTAAAAATTCTTTTTTTTTTTTCTCTCCCAAATTGTAGAATTTTATTAAAATTCGATACTCGATTGAATATATACTATATTATGTTGGATATTTTTATATTTTTAAAATATGTCTGTGTTTATAATGTATGAGAACATGTACTTTGTTTATACTGTAAGAAAGATTATGCTCTTCTTTATAATTATGTATATGAAAATCTGAATAAAGTAAAAAAAAAAAAGCTTTACCATAAAAAAAAAGATTTTTAACACCAACATTCACTTCCATACACAATTTGAAAGAAATCTGTCAAGTAACGCTGCTAAATCCAGAGTATCCTCCAGCATACTGCCGAGGGATACAATTATGATAGTTAATGATCATTTGTGATGTACCTGTTCATCGTTGTCCTCTAAGCTGTTTTCAATGGCATAATACTTGGGGATCACATGGCATTCAAACGGCTTCTTCATGATAGATTTACGGATCTTCTCAAAGGCAATCTTGAAGACAAAAAGATTGAAATGATTAGAGTATGCACATCTTAGTCGTAATGTTAAACATAATAATAATTGCGCTTAAACGAAATACCCTCTCTAAGAGCTTAACAGATATTACCCCGGTCATCGGATTCATTCACGCACAATGTGCACCATCTCCACTTCCTTGGGAGTATTCCTACCATATGGTCACTCTGATAGTATATGGCAATTTCTAACACAAAGGATTTTGTCATCCTACCTGATCGCTATTTTTCTCATGGGCGTGGAATGACAAATGTTGATTAATGCTGTGACCCACGACCTTTGTATTTAATCAAGTGCTTAACCCTATTTAGCCTGGGGGGGGGGGGGGGCTTTAAAAGCCCCCCCCCCCCTCGACATTTTTCGCGATATTTTTTTAACGCAAGAAAATCTTGCACTGAAATTTTGTGACGTTTTTTTTCGAGTCTTGCGCATCTTTTGAAAGAAATTTTTCGAAAATCGGACCTACCATTACAAAGTCACGTGTCCTTTTGTCTTTGCATGTCAGCCCGAAAATCGCTCATTTTTGTGATTTGTGTAGAAAACATTGGTTAAAGAAAATGAAACAGATCAGTGTAGAATTGAGCAAACTCTGTCTAAAAATATCATGAAAAAGTCGTGAAACCTAGAAAGTTGTAATCAATGCAAAACAAATTGGAAACTTTGTGACTGATCTTTAGAGGTCCTTTCCCATTTGCTTCGTAGTGCAAATGATATGAATTTTCATTTTCTTACTCACTAATGATGGAATGGGGTTTTGTAAAAACATGTTTGTAATGATTATATCTAGGGTGCAGGTATGACTGAACATTTTGCTCAGATAAAATAAATATTTGTTTAAATGTATTACTTTTTAATGAGATACTGCTTAAATTTTCACTGATCCATTTTTTTAATTTTCTGATCCTATCGAAACCAAAATAATATCAGGGTGAACTTTTCCTTCAAAAAATGTCCATTCACAAGAAAGTGAAAATCCAAATGTTTCAGAGTTATAGCCCAATCCTACTGCCAAACTGACTGCTAACTGAATCCAAATGATCAGTGTTATGGCCATTCAGGGGAAAACAGAAATAACCATCTGGTAGGGGGGATTTTTTAATAGAACTGACTTTTGTCAACCTGACAACGAATCCTGTGGACGAAAGTGTTTGTTGAATTAAAATTTAATTCAGGAGCAAAATAAGCGGGCTATCGTAAGTCAAAGTATATATATATATTTGTTGTGCAATTTTATACAATAACGGGGAGAGCACTATTGTACTTTTACATCTCCTTTCACACTTCCTCGATGCGTTCCAACAATGAATATTGGTGGAGATATCTCAGCGGTTTTAGACGTTTTCTTGTTGATGACTGAAGAAGGCGCCACAGCATGGGCGAAGATGGAACACAACCAGAAATTGATGAACTCTAGACATTTCAGTTCTGATTTGGCACCTCCTTTAGCCTGTTTTTGAATCGTAAAGAAATATGTATGATATGGTCAATGATAAAAATACAACGACTCATCATGCTTTGTAATCGTTCTAACAGGAATCATGCATACATACCAACTCCTGACATCCAACATTTTTTTTATTTTTTTTTATTTGATTGATAGATTGATTTACCTTTATTATCTTCCAAAGTAACAAACTAATTACAGCATGATAATCTAATCGTATGATAAAGATATCGCAATTATGTACTTACATTGTAATTTTATCATAACATAATCATAAAGAAGGATTGCAACTTAACTTAAGCTTGAAGCATGGCAATCCTTTATAAAACTTCATAATTACTGTATACCCAAAAGGAATATTGCATAATTAATACTTTCTGCTATACTATTAACAGAAATACGAATCATAAAAGGATGGGGGTGAAATGAGATGTAGGAGCAGATAACAGGAGAAAATGGCAAATGAATCATCAAGAGAAATAGCAGTACTCGTTGATTTTAATTAGTAAAACGTAAACCAGCTACTACAATTGGTAATTGGTAAATGCCCATTTGTGGAAGTAATTGTCAGGATGACCCTGTAGGCCAACGTGTCTTTCTCCAAGCAAAGATGGACTATAAAAGAATGTTGAAATGTCAACTATTTAATCTCCCACGCTGCTCTCAAAATAAAAAAGGCTAATACATTACTGATTTAATTGTACCAACAATGTACACATCTATTAATCCAGAAGGAAACAGGAGGTTGAATCTGTATGAACAAAAGTTAGTCGTATAATATCTATACTTTAAAAATACATTTTACACGAGTAATAAAAGATGATAATATGTAAACCTTTACAAACTAACATTTGGCAAATAACTAATGCTTGGCAAAGAACACACAGCGCGATCTATCATTTATCCATCTCCGTGTAAAGCATAATTTAGTTTTTACCAAAGCAGTATGAAATGAAATAAAGAAATACCATTTCGTCAGGGGGAACGTCAGGACACAAACTTCTGAGATCAAAGACAATGACATAAATGGCTCGCCACGTCAGAAACACCTACAGGAGAAAATAATTTTTAAAAATATGCATAAGTATTGAATAACTACCATGCTATGTTGTTTCTATAACATGCTTTATTATTTCTAGAATAATAAGGAACCTCAGGCAATGTTTATATGCGATAATAATTAAATCATTGATATTCCTTGTAAATTGGAAATCATGAATACAAGGTGGACTGGTTGAATTAGGGCCCTTGTTAAATACTCTTAGATATAAGCATCAATATGTCACATTCTCAAGAAACATGAACCTGGAAAAAGAAAGAAAAACAAAAATCATTTTTGACATATTTAAACAAATTCAAAACTTGATAAGAGTATGTATAGTATAGTGGTTAACTTTGTTAATATTGAGTGTATTATTCATCAGTAAGGGAAAGAGGTCTCTATTATGGCAATGTCTCTGTTCAAAATCAAGACAGTGCATTAGTTTCCAAAAATGTATCTAGTTCTTTAGACAAAAATCGACTGATGTAGATCCCCTGACTCTCTCTCTCTCTCTCTCTCTATATATATATATAGCCGTTATCTATTTGTGGGTATCTAAGCTAAGATACATAATGATAAACCAACCAATTGCATACATATTATCAATTCCTAGATAACTGTGAGAATGACAGGTCAAATAAATCAGAGCCTTCTGTTGAAAAAGAAAAAAAGATATTACAAAATTTAGACGTAGTTCTAGAGTTGTTGCAAATTTCAGCTCTTTTATTCACTTTATTAGCCAACAATTTAAAACTAATGCAAATTCTGTTATCCCACAATGGAAGATCAAATGAATAAAAGAAGCACTAATTTAGACCCGGGCATGGCTTTGCATCTACGGACTGGACCACATATTTTTGCACATGTATAAAACGTATGACAAAACCAATATGTAGGCCAACAGCTGTGCATGTTAAAAGTACATGTACCCTAAACTGAAGCATTATATTGAGACAATAGAATAATAGGCTCCATTTCTAACTTTTTTGAGAATGAGATATGTACAGTGAAACTAACCAGAAACAAAAAATCAAAGGAGAAATATCAAATATTTAGGACATGAATGCAATGATGGATGTTTAGGAGTCTGCAGTCAATAACATTTATTCAATTTTTCAAATACCAGAATCTTACAATACTTTACAAATTTGCTTTTATGGCACCACAGTAGAATTTACAAGAAATCCAATGTTCTTAAAATGTTCATTAACCTGATGGGTTGTGTAGTATATGTCTTGTCCAGCAAAGTCCCATATACTTAGGGAGACTCCTTCTACCCTACCGCTATCAGTCCTGTATGTTCCTTTCTCCTGAGGAATGAAGAAAATGAATACACAATTATATGAACAATTATCAAAAAATAAAATTGTATAAAATAATGGGAACATCAGTACTGATCCTGAAGACAACCACAACAACAACTTCTTCCAATTATGTATCATGGAGAAATCATGTACTGTAGCATTATTTTTAGCAGAGTAAAAGCAAAAACTTCCAGTTAGCAAATACAATTTGTATCCTGCATATACATCCCGCCCCCCCCCCCACACTCAGTGTTATTTAGGGTACGCATATGCGTGTTGCAAGCGACCCGCCCCCCCCCCCTTTCAGCAAAAGTCCGGTGTGTAAAGTCAATACGGGTCAACCTTTTTCTTTTGTATACAAGCCTTTTTCAGCACCCCCCCCCCCCTTTCAGCAAAAGTCCGGTGTGTAAAGTCAATACGGGTCGACCTTTTTCTTTTGTTACGAAAAGGACATTTTGGTAACACGCATGGGGTCCGGGGGCCGGGATATACATTCACTCCAATGCAGCAAACAAGAATGTACAAGGCCAACATGTATCTAAAGGAGCAGCAAATATCTCTCTTTTCCCTTTACAAGTTGTTTTCTCAATGGAACCTGTTCCAATAATTGCAACATGTTTTTCCCTCGATAAATTATTCTCACTCTCATGTGCCTCAGAGTTTAACATAGATTTTTCAACCCACTCCTGGCACCAAACAAGATTGAGATCAGCTGGTATGGTAATATGTGTGTTTTCTTTGATTTTGAAATACTGTTACTTTCCATCTCTCCATTATTCTGGGTGTAATGGATTATCTGCGGTGATGCACTCCAGACTGTGGAAGCACACCATGATCCGATGATACCATTAACTGTAACAGATTATTATACCAATCGGTAGAGGTGGATATATCTGTGTATGCTGGCAGACACAGCTCTGTAAAAACATTTATGTGAACATTGATGTTAAAGGTCATGTTACACAACGCTCACTTTCCAGAAAGTAATCTAGTGAACCTGGTATTTTCAATCAGCTGCGCAAAAAGTATGTTTTGTTTTACTTTTGAAGGAAAATACTCATAACATTCTGCTTAGGGTTACTCTTAACAATAATGTTGTATTCTAGGTACGACATTTTGTTATTTCTGGTTCTCCTTTTGTAACACGTGGATAGATTATGCATGCCATTATATAGATCCTTTAAAAACATGGAAACAGAGAAGTGGGAGATTCCACGATAAAAACGAAGGGATTGTAGAAAATCTTGTACATGTACATATCAGCATATAGATTCAATACAAGGTTTAATACTGAATTCTACCTTTAGATGAACCTGTTCCTTAAGCCTTTTCTCCACCAGACTTGATATTTGATATGGAATATTGTCATCCTCCTCTTTAGCCTCGGGCGACTCCACATTATCCAAGACAGATTCGTCTGTAATAAAGAAGAAATACATATATGCGTTTGTACGAGATATAGATTCATAATTAATCTACATCTGCCACTCTCCGCCCAGGTGTTAAATGGGTACGAAGAAGAAGAGAGATGGGAGTGGGGCATAATCGATATTATTCTACCACCTAAACAAGACTTTCACAAGTGCCTATTTTTATCATAATCATTATTTTAAAAACAATATTTCATGTAAATGAAATTTGATAAAAGCCAGAATTGATTGCAGTTTAAATTGATCACTGGGTTATACAATTTTGTCAGTAATAACAATTTAAAAGAAGTTTTAACATGTAAATACTCATTTGTCATCAACTTTTATTGATACTTTACATATTATAGACAATGATTTAAGGATTAATCGAGTGTTAACAAAACAAACACAAACCTGCTTCTACAGGATCCAGGCATTTGCCGGATGTAGTTTCACTGTGTGTTTCTAAACTTTCTTGATCCTGTACACAAAATAAACCAGTATTAAGATTGTCATCTAGCAGTTTGCACTAACCGCATCACAATTTGCAACTACAGCTTCTGTTTAAGTGGTTGGTGAGATGATGCTACTCTTTATTTGTTTGCACTGTCATTCAGGACTGGTCTAGAGTAATTTTTATTTTGTTATTGCATGAGTGACTAAGAACTTGACGTTCAAGAGGCAAACATCTAATACATGTACAAGGGCTCATGAATACTTGAATGGTTAATACACTCCCTGATACAGCGTTAACTGTAAACTTGTGTTGCAGTACTGAAATCGAATGTCAAAATGTTGGGAGTGAGCGAAGTTAGCGAACAAAAACATTGTCATTTTCAGTGTGGTAATATCTTTATTTTGTAAACGAAAAACACAACATAAAATATGGTATCATGTATGCTTGCACCTCACTGCCCAATACATGAATCCAAAGTCATATATTTGGTTAGTCTGTGCACGAATATAAGGATATTCGGGCATCTCGTTGTCCAGAATCATCCCGTTTTGTAAATGTTCTGGGCGAGTGAAGCGAACAATTGTGGTACAAATGCAACATCGCTGTCAAAAGAGAAATTCCGGCACCTCATTGACTAATAATGTAGCTATTCCGGTACTTTATTGTCTAAAATCATACTGTTTCTAAATATTAAGAGCGAGTGAAGCGAGGGAGGAAAAAAAAGTCTCTTGTCTCAAAAACGTTATTTCCATACATAACAGTTTCTAATATTTTGTTCTCACAACAGTGACATATATTTCATAATGGATAAAAAAAAAAAGATAAACTAATTTATCTTGCTGCATTCCAGGGTACCCCAGCATTACAGTTGAAAAACGCTGCTCTATTATTGCATTGTAGTCTCAGACAGCCCATGTAATTATCATTAAATATTGCTTTCAAATTCATCGAGCACAATTTCGGACATTTATTTGGATTGTCGTCATAAATACATTATATATATATATATATATATGTGTGTGTGTGTAATTTATATACATATATAAATGTTTTGATGTTGCTGAATTTCACTTCTCAATCATAATCATAACTCACTACTATTTATTTACTTTTATAGAGATTTTTATTTGTAATAACAAGTAAAGGTGCCATTTCATTCTTTCTTACTGCTATACCTTAAATCAGAAAAAACAATACCTGTATTGAGATAATGATTACCTGTGTTGTAGTCACCGTCAGCCTCTTTGTTAGTTCATCCATGAGATCTTTTCTGTATTCATCCTCTGTGAAATGAAATCACCATATGACATATTCTACTGTGGAATCACATTAAAACAGTGTAATATAAGATTGTATGACTCCAGAGAAATTTAAATTACATGTATATGATTTTAATGAATAATTTGATGTCCAATCCTGCCTTTATAGGAAGTTAAACATTACCTGATAGCTAGAAATATGATGTGATGTCATGCAACTCCTTCAATTGTTCCAATACCCATCTTGACTAAAATATGATTTGCTTCAAAACTTGAGACTGAAAAGGATAGGTTTATGGTGACTTTCAACAACATGCTTTCCATGATTACAAATAAAAAGATTTTGATGGGAAAGGAATCTTGTTAAAAAAAAAGATCGATTTAAAAAAAAATCTCTAATGGTACAGCAAATTAGAAATTGTTCCAAAATACTCTGCAGTCTATTAACCAATTCGCTAATTTGACATTGACATAGCAGTGATATTGATATGACATCAACAGGACAATTCAGTTCACTTCTTATATCTATATTACCGCTGCAAGAACTATAACTTAGTGATTGCTGTGTCAATAAACTTTTCAGACATTAATAATGAAGATGATGATAACAATAACAATTACAATAATAATAATAACAATGAACATAAACTGAACCTTCACAGAAATGAAGATAACGACTTGAATGAGACTGAACATGGCGGGCCTAGTTTGTATCGTGACAGGCTCTTGTCCGGCAGTGTATGTGTTCATGGGCAGGTACCTCACGGTCGTCACCCAGTGACTAACCAAAGAAAATGGAACCAAGCCTTTGAGTGGTAATGAAGCATTATCTCGAGAGTAAACCAGGGACCAGGGGATATATGAGGAGAATGTTGAATAGCTGGCAAGAGAGAGGAATGTTCAGGGTAACAGAGCAGAACCTGACAGAATAGGCTTGGGCAATTAGAACCAAACAGTGGCTCTCAGAAATTGAATTAGAAGAAATTAAAGAGAAAGTAAACAGAAATGATAGGTATGATCCTGCTGCAGAAGAGGTAGCCCAAGGTTATCATATCAACTAAGAGAATATTGGCAGAAGTACTTCCCCAATCTGCACAGATAAATTGCACAGCAGCTCAACAACATACTTGAAACAGATAGTGTGCCTGAGTGGATGAATCATTGAAGAACAATACAGTGTGTAAAGAATCCATCCTTGAGTTGGGAAACGCTTTGGATAACTTTAGGCCCATAACATGCCTTCCACTTATGTGGAAACTGTTAAGCGGAATGTTAGCAGAAAAGATATATGACCACCTTGTCTCAGCCCAAGAAAGGTTCCCGAGGTACAAAGGATCAACTCCTTATCAACAAAATGGTATCGCGGAACTGCAAAAACAAATTGGCAATTTCCTGGATAGACTACCGCAAGGCGTATGATATGGTGCTATGTTCCTGGATTCTTGAGACACTTAGATTGGTAGGAATGGCTCCCAACACTCAGCGCATTATCCAGGAGTGTATGTCAAACTGAAGCTGACATCTAAAATATGTACTCTAGGAGAGATTATAAGTTGGCGAAGTTTTTTCCGGAGGGACAGCTTGTCACCACTGCTATTTATCATCTACGTGATACCTTTGTTGATGGTCATACGGAAATCCAAAGTACGATATCACTAAGGAAATAAGTCCGAGACTCTCAATCACTTGACGTTCATGGGTGACCTAAATCTCTATGGGAAGAGTGAATGACAGGTAGATCCACCAGTGAACACAGCCCGTGTGTGTAGTAATGACATTGGGAGGAGTTTGGACTCAAGAAGTGTGGCATTCTCATCCTAAAGAGAGAGAAGGTTGAGAATATTGAGGGAATCACCTTGCCCGATGGACGCAAGATG